TTTTCATTTTATATCAAAGCTTATCTACAATTTAATTATCCATATTTCTTAGTTTATAGATATATATATATTTAATTTGTTATCTTTCTTTTTATTACATTTTGACCATTCCTTTTAGGCTAACTTAACTTATTGTATCATTATAAATATTGTAACTGTTGAGCCATAATAGTCGTTGACTGAAGGCTAATAAAAATAAAAAAAAAAAAAACTATAGTAAATGCGACAAAATTATAAAATAGACTATATGCTTTATAATATGTAAAAATTAAAGTTTATATTGATTAGAATAAAAGTTGTTTAACTTTTAAAGTCATCATGTTACTCATTATAATCTAGTTAAATAGATTAAAATGTACTAAAAAATATACATTTTTATCTCCTTCAAAACATAACTATATTGTCTATATAAAAACTTATATTTTATAATAACATAACTATGTGTTATAAATATGATAATCATAGGTAATATTGTAACACATATTTTTGCATATTATATGTTTCCGCAAGTGTTTTTTTTTTTTTGACAAATTAATAACCATAGTCTATAACTGAGATATGGCCAATAGCCATGTTTGCCAAATCTTTAATGTTAATTGAAATTGGCCATCTGGGTCGTTGCCAAATTGGATATTCGTTGTACTAAGAAAAAACCCCCTCTAAATATTAGTAACATGCTATCAGATTAATTTTCTAAAAAAAGTTTACAATGTTTTGTCAAATTTGAGCACAACAATAATTTTGATAAAATTATTATGATATAATTTAGTATCATTATGACATAAATTAATTTGTATTAATACCCTTAGTTGTATACTTTATAAACACCAAAAAAAGTATTTTTATTACTTGAATAAAAATGACTTAATTTAATTGTAATTTTTAAAAACGAATTTTTTTTATTTAATTCATTCAACAAAATATTTAAATTTATAAAATAACCTATTGTACTTTTTGTAATTATGTAAAACAGGTAATAATTTTTAAAATAGATATATTACTTTTTATTTTATTTGCTAAACAGGAATATTAAATATTATAAAATAATATTGTTTAATATTGTTCCTGTTTAATTTCTTCTTATATTTTCTCAGACAAATTTTAAACAGGAATTATAAAATATTATGATATGAGTTTAATATATTAAAAATATTTACTATAATTTTTGAATTATAATATTTTCCCTATATCTTTTAATTGTATATTCCTAAAATATATAATCACTTACATTCTCTTAACATACAGTCTTCAATATATATATATATATATATATAATAAATATATATAAATAATGGAGTTACAATAACTCAATCATTACGATGTCGTATTGATTATTCTTCTGCTGATAAATACAAATGTTTGTCAGAAAACTAAATAATATTTATACCAACACTGATCACTGATTGATAGTAAAATGTTTGATGTTTTCCAACGATAATATAAGAAATGATAATTAATTGAGTATACATTTATAAAATATGAATAACTTTACTTTACATTAAAATAAACTGTACCTAATACGTATAATATATTTGACATATGTAAACTACCTATTAATTTACTATATATATGTATATATTTATTTATATATAGGTTAGGTTATCGAGTTATCTCAGTGGGGCCCAGAATTCATATGTATTTATGAAATAAAAAAAATAACAATAAAATAAATATTTTCTTTCTTTTAGATAAAATATTGAAAATTCATCAACAAATTTCATAGAATATTCATATTATATAAGCTATTATATTTAAGCTAGTCACATAGTCAGACATGACTTCACAATATTGCAATTAAATTAAATATTATTACACAATTACATGCATGTTTCATTCAAAATAATTAGAAAAAACTAAAATACAAAAATTTAAGTAGATACTCATATTTATTATTTGATTTGTTTTTAATTTTTAATTTTTTTATATCATAATATTTTTATAAGTACTCTTACCACTAAATTAAAAAAATGTAATCAAATAACTAAGGTGATAAATCCATAGAAAACACAGCAATATTGTTTGAAATATTATAATAATTAAAACACAGTACTTTCACACTTGTTGTCATCCATTTAATGAATAYCACTTAAATAATTTTCTAAATTGTAGTTTGATTTATTGTAGTTTAAACATTTTAGAACATTGACCTTTGGCCTATAWACATTCAAATGCTAGACAACATTTTACACAGCTTCTTATAACTAAAAATATTTAATAATAACAGGTTAATATTTTTCTTTTTTTTTCTTTGACTTCACTGAAATTAGTTTTACACAAGTAATTCGTGTGATTTACTGCACGATTCGTATAATCATATCCTTTTAAAATCATGTTCACAGGATATCAGTTATATTCAGGGTGAAATCAGCAAAAGTCGTGAAAATCACCGATAAGGATTTACTAAAAAGACTTGGGCTAATGATGGCGGTAGTTGGCTTGATAATGCTGATAAGAACTCTTGTCAATCCGCCATATATTATAGTAGGTAGAACTGCAGATAATTTAAAAACAGATCTGTGTCCAACTGGATGGTGGGACAGATTCTTCTCAATATGTAAGTAACTAGATTTTGTAGTCTTATCTTAGATGTATTAAAGTTATAATATTAGCTGATATGGGTGTATAAAAAAGTTTTTTGATTTAATTAGTTGAAAAACAATAATGAATAATACAAAAATGTATTTCTTTTAAAACCAGTTTTGCTTAAAAATCTCCTTTTATCTATTATGTTATTTGACACTTTGGCATATTGCTTAACTTTTAAAACTTATTAGGAATTAAAACCCCTAAATAACAACTACATACATTTCACTTCCATGCATTAAAGATTGAATCTTTTTTTTTTATTCCAGAAAGCCATGACTAAAATATAAAATTGCTTTATTCATGTAATTATATTATATTTTTATTGTTTTAGTGGAAGTATTATTTTTAGTTTGGGGTATCCGTCTCTGTATTGTTGTGCGAAAAGCACCATCAGAATTCAACGAGAGTCGATTCATGTCAATGGCTATCTACAATGAATTTATTCTCTCAGTCTTCCTGAACGTATCAATGTAAGTTGAATAATTATAATAAAATATATRAATTTAAATTGTTTTCAAAGTTTCAATATGTTGAGATTCAAAAACTTACTGGTAAAAATCTACGATGATTTAGTTTTACTTTAATTAGAAAAGATTGTTCAATCATAGTCTACAAATCTATAAGAAAAAAATACGATAAGCTTAAAAATTAAATTWAAAAGTCAAATGGTTATCTGTGGTTAAAATAAAAACATTTTCACAAAGGATGTTATTACTGAAAATGAAATAAAAATAAAAATAAGGATAAACATACCTATTTAATGTTAAAAAAAGTTTAATTTTAAAAATCAAAAAAATATTTTTTATGAAGGTATATTATATTCATCATAAGTAAAATAAAATCCCCTGACTTTTATTACCAATTAATTTTGAATGGTATTTCAATATATATACACCTATATGTATACAGTGCAAAGTATAAAGTGTGTATTCATATTGTATTCTGTAATAAAAAACTAAGTTTATAAAATTCAAAACAATATAAGACGTCAGAAAAATCTAAAGCTTTGGTAATGACTTATASACARAACCGTTATAAGTAAATAAAAATATGGAGAAAAAAGTAGATCATATATGGTTACAGAGATATTGAATGAGATTTTGTAATAGGCTATAAAATACAGACACAAGAAGTGAAGATAACGGCTAGTAAAATAATGGCTTTTTTTTAAATTGTTTGATATTTACAAAATGAGATAAAACATTTGATATTAGTCCAACTAAATTATTAATCGAAAAGTCCCACTTTAACTATCAAATACTATTGATGTATTCTGAAAAAAAGCTTAACTTTTTGGATAAATATAAATTAATTTATAACTTATTTACTATACCACTCCAATGCACCAATTATTGTAGTTTGGTATACAGGGTGTCCCACAGAGATCTGACATTCTGACAAATGAAATTACTTTTGTTCTAATCAATATTTAAAAAAAAATGTCTTTTAAATATAATTCATAGACACTTGCGCTACATTTTCAGAATACATTTTTTATTTTTTATTTTTTAATACTGAAAATAAAAAACTTAAAAATTGATAAAAATTTTCTTCGAAATATTCAATATAGCCAATTT